ACATACGATTTCAATGCGATGTTGTGCACGACGGAGTGCGATGCGAGTCGAAGTTCGACACGATGAGACAGCTCAGACTGCATCAAGTAAATTCCCGGCAGCCCGGACACGGGCACAGGCTGTTGGCAAACATGGTCACTGTATCCAATGCTTGCGTGATTTGTGAGAACTTCAGCGAAATGCAATCCACATCTCAACGAAATGCAGCGGCTCACCTTAAACTGTGTCTGGAGAGAGGTGTGTGTCCGAGGTCGAGAGGCTCGGCTGTTGTTACGCCCCACTTGCATGCTGCCCCTTATCGTTGCGACTTGTGCGAGGTAGATGTTGACTGCTACGAGCACGCGCGTTGGCATTTGCTTTCGCACCTGCCCCTTACCGAACAGAGCTTCCTCGTTGAGCTGCCCGCGCCATGAACAACTGGGCAGCCACCTTCGCCTCGGCGAGACAGGCTGGGGGTACCGAAGGAGGGGAAAGTGCTCGGAAAGTTCGGGCAGTAGAGGATTCGAGTGACAAAAAGAAAACTGACGTGGCATTGAAGTTGTCGGTCATTAACAGCCAGAAGGTGCGCCTGCTGGAAGCAGCCGCCATGCGGCAGGTGCCCCTCCAGGTCGATGGCGGCGGGGTGTACCCGGCCATCAAGCGCGCGCACGACGAGGAATACCTCCCTCGGGTGAAGGGCAAGCGCGGCCACGGGCTCGGAGCGCCGGATTCCTTCGCGTGCACCGCCACCGTGCTCGCCCTGATGGAGAAGGCATCTCCCGAGATTCAGGCTGACCTTCGGAAGTATCTCGATCAGTATGCGCCCGGGTCCCCCGCGGCGCAGAAATACGTGAATTTGCTTCGCACCGAGAAGATGCACGACGCCAAGCAGCGCCGGCTGATTATCTCATTGCAAGACAAAGCTTTCGAAACCGTGCTTGTCACTGAGATCGAGAAGCAGTGCGGGGTCCACGAGTTTGTCGGGCCGCGCCCCCCCGGCTTCTTGGAGGTGGAGGCGCAGCGGATGCTCGAAGGCCAGGTGTGAGCGTGCCGAGCGTTGCGCCCCAGGCAGCCGGCGTTACGACGAATTTGTTTCTTTTACTCTCGCGGTGTCTCTGGGTCCAGCCCGATTGTGAATGGTAGAAAGCCCGATTGCGAATTGTATCTTGCAGGGCGTGCGAATTGCGCACCAGATTTGTAACCTCCGTCGTGCGCGATTCTGGGCTCCCGCCGTTCCGCGGGTTCCCCCCCTTGTCCTTGCTCCTCCCCCGCTCTGCCTGGCCCCATCCTCGGGGCGCGGATCCGGCTGTTGGCTCGTTTGTTAGAGGCGTTGTGCCTCACGTGGGTTTTTCAACTGCACGCTCAACGTGCTTGTCTCAGAGTGCGTGCCGCAGCGAGCGACGGAGGCTTCAGAGATACTGCTGGTCGTGTGTCGGCTGATGCTGTGTGCACAGCCGTTGGCACCTGTCCGTCGGGGCAGCCGAGCACTGCGATGAGGGGGGTGCCCCAAGTAATCTCCGTAGGCCGCGTGACTTTGGCCTCCATGGAGCACATGCCATGCCATGCCTCCTCCTCCTTCTCGGGTTCCCTAGGACGTCCTTGGAAAAGGTCACCCGGCTTTCCGGGTCTCCACAAAAACGCCTTGCCAGCGGACCCAGAGCGATCGGAGGGGTCATCAGAAAGGCCCAAGGGAGGCCCCAGACAGCTCAAGAGCGCTCCAAGAGGGACTCAAATTGCTTCAGGACGGCCTAAAAGACCCCCGAGGCACCGCAAAAAGCTTTCCAAGGGGCCTTCAAAACACAAAATTCGTCCCATTCCCTTCGTAAAACTCACAAGTTTAGCATATTCGCCTTTCGGATTTCATCAGCGTCCATGACGGCTTAAAAGCCCCCGAGATCGCCTCAAGACGCCCCAAAAGACACCCAAGAAAGCTTCAAGACGGCCGAGCCGGGCCCCACGATCGCCCACGAGAGCCCCAAGACAACCCATAATGGATCCAAGAGGCCCCAAAGGGCACCCAGCACAGACCCAAAAGGGCCATGGGAGGTCCCCGGAAGTGCCCAAGATGGGTCCAAAAGGGGCTCCAGCGGGCCCAAGCTTCCCAAGACGGCCCAAGAAGGCCCCAGGACGGCCCATGAAGGCACCAAAACGGCCCACGAGGGCCCCGAAAACACCCCCACGATGCTTCCGAATGCCATCATTCATTGATTTGGCTCCCGTGACATTCCACATTGTGACCCATTCGTTGAGGGTCTCGTGGCATGCAGCGAAGATGCCCGAGGATGCTCCCAACAACTTTCACAAGATGATCGTCGTTGTCGTCGTCGTCGTCGTCGTCGTCGTCGTCGTCGTTCGTTGTCGTAATCGTCGTGGTTATCGCCGTCGTCCCCGTTTCGCCCAGCCCGCTGGCTTTGCTCGGCCTGGCCCAGCCGGCAACTCAGGAGGAGGATGAGGAGGAAAGGAGGAGGAAGAGGATGTGGACCAGGAGAACGCGAATAAGAAAATTAATAAACAGGAAGAGGGAATTACACGCAAGGGGAGTGCGGAGGACGAGTGGCGAGTATCACCCAAACAGAAAACGAGGAAGGGGAGGAGGAAGAGGGAGTCGTGAGATCCGCTTCGCCCGGGTATGCTCACAACTCCAACCTCGCAAACGCTTTGCCTCGCAGTGGTCCCGCCATTTTCGCCTGAGACATCCTCGCAACTCTGGAGTCCGAGACGCCCTGGCCTGAGGTGTTCAGGCCAGTTTCGCCTGAGACAGTCTCGCAAGTCTGACTTCGGAGGTGCCCTGCACCATGGTGGTTAGCCTACTTTCGCCTGCGACTTCTCGCAACTCTGGATTTCGGGATGCCCTGAGCTGAGGTGTTTAGACCACTCTTCGCTTGAGACTTCCTCGCAAGGCTGACTTCGGAGATGCCCCGCCCCATAGTGCTCGGGCCAGTTGCGCCTAAGACATCCTCGCAACTCTGACCTCGGAGGTGCCCTACCCAAAGGAGGTCCGGCCACTTCCGCATGCGACACCCTCGCAACTCTGCGTCCAGGGATGTCCTAAGCTGCGGTGTTCGGGTCACTTTCGCCAGAGCAATCCTCACAACTTTCGGTTCCGAGGTGCCCCGAGCTGAGGAAATCAGACCACTGTGGCCTGTGACCTCCTCCGAACTCTGACCTCGGAGAAGCCCTGCCCCAAGGTGGTCCAGCCACTTCCGCTGTGAGACTGTCTCGCAACTCTGCGTTCCAGGGCTCCTTGAGCTGAGGTGTTCGGGCCACTTTCGCTAGAAACGTTCTCGCAGCTCTGGGTTCCGAGATGCCCTGCCCCATGGTATTCCGCCACTTTCGCTTGAGACTTCCTCGCGTCACTGAGTTCCCGTCTGTCCTGAGCTGAGGTGTTCAGGCCGTTTTCGCTTGAGACATCCTCGCAACTCTGAATTCCGGCATGTCCTGAGCGGAAGTGTTTAGGCCATTGTCGCTTGAGACATCCTCGCACACTGACCTCGGCGATGCATTGTCCCATGGAAATCTGGCCATTTTCGCCTGATGTCCTCGCACCTTTCAGTTGCGACATGCCCTGAGCAAGTGGTCAGGCCACTACCGCCTGGGATACGCATGTGTGTGAGAACCCATAATTATATATATGTATTATTCATATGGGCGTGAACCGACAAAGCACGTACGAGTTGCAGATCCATGTTCAGACCCTTACACACATACATGTGTGTGTACATGTGCACGCTGTATACACATACAACAATGTAAGTACATTGTATACACCTAGACATATATATATATATATATACGGAATGTGCATGCGCGCGCGTGTATACATGCATGCGCGCATGTATGCACGCACGCATTCGGCTTGCGTGCGGAACTCAAAGGACAAAGGTGCATGGCGCGCAGCGCCAATGCAGTCTTGTGTATATATATATATATATATATAACAATGGTACTCTGTTGCCCACGGTTGCTGTGGTGCAGAGAGGCGCCCTGGTGTGACCAGGCGCTGTGGTGCACGCGGGTACTGTGGTGTAAACTGGTGCTGTGTTGCACAGGGCTGATGCGGTGCACGCAGGCTGTTCGGTGTACACAAGCGCTGTTGAGCACGCGGCACTGTGGCACACACTGGCGCTGTGTCGCACGCGGCTGCTGTGGTGTACGTAGGCGGTGTGGTGTACACAGGCGCTGTGGTGCACGCAGGCACTGTGGTATACACAAAACAGGCGCTGTGGTGCAGATCGCCATCTACAATCTACATTTCTGCTGCCACCCGTCCTCGGTCCTTCCTGGGAATTCCCAGACGCCGCAGGCGCGAAACGTGACGTCATCGGCCCCCTCCCCCCTCTCAAATGACGGCCGTCATCGACCCGAAAAAAAAACAGGCCCCTGCGCGCATCGGCCTCGACCGGAACTTGAGGAAAAGGCGAGCTTCCTGACATCGGGTGCGGGCCTGGGCCTCCTCGAGCCAAACTGGCTACGGAAACCCTGGAGGAAGGGAGGAGGACGAAGTGAAGGAGGGCGGTCGCAACAGTTCGACGAGCCGAAGTCCGTCTGGCGCGAGGGTTGCAAGCGCTCCCCGCGCCGACATCATGTGGCGGGAGGTAGAGCTGTGCGAAAAGGAGTGCTGAGAGACTACCCTCCCCCTGGCATAGTCAGTTGGACGCCCGACTAGGAAGCAGGAGCGGGGCGTGGTGAGAAGGGGGCGAGGAGGAGGAGGAAACGAGTTTGGAGGAGGAGGAAGAGGAGAAGGATGAGAGAGAGAGAGAGAACAAACAAAACAACAAAAATAATGAGGAGGAGAACAGAGAAAAAGGAGGAGGAGGAGGAGGAGAAAGAGGAGGAGGAGGAGGAGGAGGAGGAGGAGGGAGGAGGAGGAGGAGGATCGCGCTTAATGTATGGCCAACGTCGAAGAGGAGGAGGACGAAGAGGAGGAGGACGAAGAGGAGGAGGACGAGGAGAGGAGGAGAGGAGGAGGAGGAGGAGGAGGAGGAGGAGGAGAGATAGAGGAAGGAGGAAGGCGCTGCCACCGCCCGCCGGCGCTGGCGCCGCCGCTGCCGCTGGCGCCGGCGCTGCCCCGGGCCTCCCCGTCGGGCGGCGGCGACGGGCAGGCCACCTCCAACGGGGGCGGCGCCCCGGGGGGTCCCGCGTCCGCGGCGGCGCCGCCGGCCTGGTCCCGCTGCTGCTCGGGCCGTGGTCGCTCGAGGCGTACCCGCCACGTCGGGGGGAGCCGGAGGACACAGTCAGAGCGTATAGTGAGCATGCGCGGCAAGGAGGATGCTCGGGTCGGGCGAAAGGGGTAGCAAAGGGGGGGTTTGAGAATCAGCTCACGTAGCTGATTTTCCTGGCGCCTCCCGGCGCCGGGAGGCGACTATGTATCCAGGAATGGGCCCCTCGGTGGGGCCGAAACCAGCTGCATGCAGCAAATTTCCTAACCCCCCCTTTCCCAATCCCCCCCTTTCGCCCGACCCGAGATGCTATAGGACGGCCATGTCGACGTTTTTCGAGCGGGGCGCGGCCGGCAAAGGTCCCCGAGGACGGGCCGAAGGGGAAGGACGCGGGGTTGATCTTGGAAAATTGCTCATCCTTACTATGCGCGTTGACTGCAGGCCTCGGGATGTGAGGTTTTCGGTGCATGGCGGCGAACGTATCCGTGTCCGCGCCCTCGCGGCCTGGATCCCGGGGCGCGATCCCTCGGACAGGCGGTCGCACGGATACGTTCCGCGCGGGGCATCCGCGAAACAAAAACGCTCCACACCCGAGGGGGTCTCCAAAACGGCGCCAAAGCCAGGAGCAGTACCGCTCCAAGCAAAGCCTGGCCTGGGCCTCGTGTCGGAGTGCTCTGGGTGATTGGCGTGTTTTCCACCACCACCACCAGAAGCTGGAGAAGGGAAGGAGGAGGAGGAGGAGGAGGAGGAGGAGGAGGAGGAGGAGGAGGAGGACCCCCTCCCCCTCCAACTTATGGTCGTGGTGGTGGAAAACAGTCCCATCACTGGGGAGTCCACGGGGCCTCCGCAGAGAGACCGCGGGGACCACGCGGCCCGGGTATGCGCACCCGCCCCATGCTAGGGAACGGCCAGGGCCAGGGACAGCTCCAGACGGGCCTGCCCTGGCCAAAACGTCGGAGCAGAAACTCACAGCTGAGACCCCGGGCACTGCAGCGCGGCAGAGCCCCAGAACGCCAGCGCCCGGACATTTTTTGTTCGCAGCGTGGCCCCCCACCCCCAAAGAGGGCCCTGTTCGCCTCGGGACGGCCCCGGTGCCCGGCGAGGGCCCCCCGAGGCCAGAAGAAAGGATGGCCCAAGAAAAGCCTGCTGCGTCGGGAGCTTGTTGCCAGCGCGAGGAGAGCCTGGGGGCAGGAGCAAGGGGAAAGCGGCACCACCGCGACCAGCACGAGGCGCCAGACAGGGTCTCGATCCTGGCGGCGTGGTCCCCCACCCTCTCGCTCGAGACATGCTTCATCCCCAGGAAGGGGGAGGCATCGTGGACCCCCTCGTTGGAGTTGGCCCCCCTGGTGGTGGTGGTGGTGGTGGTGGTGGTGGTGGTGGTGGTGGTGGTGGTGGTGGTGGTGGTGGTGGTGGCGGTGGTGGCGGTGGTGGTGGTGGCGGTGGTGGTGGTGGCGGTGTCGCCTCTGCTTGGCAGATGCAGAAGGGAGGAGGGGGAGGGGGGAAGGCTTCTCAGGAGGAGGCCGCTTCTGAGAAGGCGCGGGCCTTACATCCACAGACACGGCACGTCCCTTCTAAGAAGCAGGGGTGCTACTAAGAAGCCTTCCAACCTCTCCCAACCCCCCTCTGCGCGTGGCCGATATTCTTCCGCTCATCTAAGTCACCCAGCCTTGCGCATCGCGCCCCGCGATGCGCGGCGGGCGGCTCTCTACGCCATCGCACAATCCTCCTGGAGAGGGGTGACTCTCCAAATCAGGCCTCGATTTGCGAGGCGCGACTATAGCCTCGGTGGTTCAAAGCAGGTCTCGAGTTACACAGTGTTGCTCGTTTTCGTTGTGGTGTCGCTCTCCTTCGTTATGTATTATTTCTCCCTTTGCTTCAAAATTAAATCAAAACGAAAACGGACCATGAAATCGACCAAGCACCGTTTAGCTCAAGCCCTGACTCAAACAGATGGCCCTGGGGGATGGAGTCCTGAGGATAAGAAGGGATCCAAGGGTGGATTTACATTAACTCAGGCACTTGTCCCTCAGGACCCCATCCCTCAGGACCACCACCGATAGCTGGTAGGCAAGCAAGACCTCCCCCACGGCCGCGATGGGCACCACGGCGGCCCCTCCCGCGGGATGCCCCCAGCGACCAAGGCGTATTGTACTGGCTCCACGAGAAGTGGCTGCTGGCCCAGCCACACGTAAGAGCTTGACCCCACGCTGACGAGGTCGAGGACGACGACGAGATCGAGGATGAACAAGGACAAGGTCGAGGACAAGGTCGAGGATGAGGTCGAGGACGAGGTGGAGGACAGAGACTGTCAGGCGCGAGGACGAGATAGAGTAAAGGGGGATGGGCAAGATGCCAGATGAGTCAGCATCGAATCGAAACATCGGAGCGAATCGGAGCGCACGTCGGATCTGGCTGCATCGGCACGACATCGCAATCGACTCGGCTCGACCGTGCCAAAGCACACAACAGCGCGATGCATGCAGCGGGCCGCATCATGTTGTTGGTATATCGAAGTCGAATCGGGTCCAAATTGCCGTCCGAAGCGATTCGATCGTATCGAAATGGACCCCGAGAGGTGGCCCTCAGTGCGAGGTTTGCCGATCGATCACTGCATGCAGCGTGGCAGCAGCGGCCTGCCTGCTTGGGCTTAGCCCTCCCCCCTGAGATCCAACGTCGCGAAAAAAGTGAAACCTCGCGAAAAATTACGACCAGAGCCTTGGACCCATCTCGGGGAGAACGAAATGGGGATGTAGCACAGGGGAGGGTAGAGAATCAGCTCACGTCGCTGATTTTCCCGGCGCCTCCCGGCGCCGGGAGGCGCCCATGTATCGAGGGGTGGGCTCGGCGGCGGGGCCGAAACCAGCTGCATGCAGCAGATTTCGTACCCCCCCCCCTTCCCTGTCCCCCCCCCTTCGTTCGGCCCGACTATCTCTGTGCGGCATTCCCTCGGCCGATCGATCTGCGCAGGTCCCTGGGCCAAACTGGGCGACAACGCCTGGCGCTGAGGAACTGCAGCGCCCGCCACTCGAGGCCCCGCGCGTCCAGACAGCCGCGCACCCAAGGTAACTCCTGCGAAGGGCCGCTCCCACGCGCAGCCGCATGGTGCCCGCGGCCGCGCCCGCCCGGCGCGAGGACCCGGACCGCCCCGCGCTGCGGCGCCGCCGCCGCCCCGCGGACCTGCGCCGCCGGGACCCGGACGAGCGCCGCGCAGACCTGACCGGGCATGGGCCGGGCGGCTCGGTGGGCCCTCACAGGGGAACACTCCTAGAGGGAAGAGAACTATGCACATACACCGATTCTGGCCAGGCCCATCCTGAGCCCAGGATCGGTGCATACGCCCTCTTACCTTGGCCAGGAAGGTATGTGCACCGATCCTGAGTCAAGGATGGGCCTTGCCAGGATCGGTGCATGTGCATGATTCTCTTCGCCCGAACAGGGGGACACACCACGGCACAAGCGTGACTCCTGCGAGGTCCGCGCGGGGTCCTCGGGTCGGCGCTGGACCCCACCCCCTGGCGCGAGGAGCGCGCCAGATGCGGCGCCGGAAGCACCGCCGAGGGGGCCCAGCCCCGATCCAAGGAGGCATCATGCAGGCAGCGAACAAGAGAGATAAAAGACTTCGAACAAGTGTGATAAGAGACAAGCGTGATAAACGAGTGCGATGAGAAAACTCCGAACAAATGTGATACAAATTGCTTGTTTCATCACACTTGTTTTTTGTATCACACTTGTTCGCAGCTGCCCACACACTCCGCAAGGTGGGGGGGCGAGGCCCACAAGTCAGCTGGACGGCCAGCGGGCTGCCTGGCACGGGGCAAGGGCAGAGGGGGGGAGCAGAGGGAGCGGAAGAGGGGGCGATCCAGGCAGATCGGCCCGGGCGAACGGGGGGCGCCGGGAGGCGCCCATGTATCGAGGAGTGGGCCCGGCGGCGGGGCCGAAACCAGCTGCATGCAGCAGATTTCGTAACCCCCCCTCTCCCTGTCCCCCCCCCCTTTCGTTCGGCCCAAGTAGAGGAGGGGGACAGGGCCAGGGCCGAGAGGGCGAGGGGAGCAGAGGGGGCGGGGGGGGGGGGCAGAGGAGCGAGGAGCGGGCGGGGGGGGGGGGGGGGGGGGCAGGGCGAGGGACGAGGGGCGGGGCAGACGGCGGGGGAGGAGGAGCTTTTTGGGGACTCTGTCCTGGCGTTTGTACCAGTCGTGCGCCGTTCAGTGCGCAAAGAGAGGGAGGAGCGGAGGGGGAGTGATGAGGGGAGGATGCAGGCAAGATCGTGTGTAGGAGTCGGGTCTTACGCGCGATGCCGTTATCGATCTTATGCCGCGGCGTACGCGGTCCGCGAGCGTGGCACTCCGCTTGGAGAAGAGGGAACCTAGGAACGACCTCACGCGGGAAGAGTACGCGCGAGTTTCCGTAGAGTCGACCCCGTTTCCATCCGTCGCTCACATGGGATCGGGAGACGGAGTAGCCTTCGCCCCCTGCTGCTCTTCCTCCTTATCCTCTGTCTTGCACCCCTCCGACCTGATGTGCCCTCCTCCCGCCCTTCTCGACGAGAACGAGCAGCAGAAGGAGGACGGTGTGACAACGACGTAAGCGCCGACGTCGACGGTCCACAACAAAGGCGTCGTAGACGACACCAAGGACGCTGATCCGACAACGACGCCAAGGACAACGACGCCGCCGACGCCGCCGACGAAGACGCCGACGCTGCCGACGCCGACGACGACGCCGACGACGCTGGGCCGGCGATGACGACGCCGACGCCGACGCCGACGCGAACGCCGACGCCGACGCCGACGCCAACGACGACGCTGACGACGACGCCGTCGCCGTCGCCGACGCCGACGCCGACGCCCCATCCGCCGCCGACAACGACGACGACGACGACGAGGTCAACGGCAGCGGCGACGAGGGCGAGCGGCGCGACCCCGAGCGATCGCGACGAGGGCGACGGCGGCGGAGACGGGCGAAGACGAGGGGGAGGATGCCGGCCAGAAGCGGCGGCGGCGCGACCTCGAGCGCCGCGACCTCGAGCGCCGCGGCCTCGAGGAGCGCGAGGCCGACGCCGACCCCGCCGAGGCAGATTTCGCCACGCTTCGCCGCCGCCCCCGGCGCCGGAAGGGCAGCCCGGAGCGCGAGGAGCGTGACCTCGGAGAGCGTGACCTCTTCCCTCGATGCCTCCTCCCTCCTCCATCCTTCAGCCCTCATCTCATTCCTTCTCATCCCTCCCTGAGTCCCTCCTTCCCTCCATCCCTCCCTCCCTCCCTCCTCCTCTTCCTCCTCCTCCTCCACCTCCTCCCTCCTCCTCCTCCTCCTCCCTCCTCATCCTTCCTCATATCCATCCTCATCCTTCTCCTCCTCCTCCTCCTCCTGACCTCCTCCCTCCTTCCTCCTCCCTCCTCATCCCTCCTCGTCCTCCTCCTACTCTTCCTCGCACCGCCAAGCTGACGCCCCCCTCCTCTCTCGAAACCCTATGCATCCTCCTGCTCTTCGTTATTGTCCTCATCCTCTTCCTCCCCCTCCTCCTCCTTCTCCTCGCACCTCGCCACTCCCTCTTCTTCCTCCTCCTACCATCTCCCTCCTCCCGCCTCCTCCATTCTTCCTCATCCTTCTCCTCCACTTCGTTCGCTCCAGGCTCCTCGCTCATTCCTCCTCTCCCTCCTCGTCCTCATCCCTCCTCTCTCCTTCCTCCTTCTCCCCCCTCCTGCCCCCTCATTCCCCTCCTTCACCGACTTCTTACCCTCCGTCCAGCGAGGTCTCCCATGCCTGGCTCTCGGTCGGCCTGCAATGTTGCTACCGGCCCGTCTTGGGCCCACTAATACGAAGGGGCCCAGGGACACACAAATAGATACACACAAATAACCGGATTCCCCTCAGTTTCCCATATTTACTGTGTTTTTGTCCCCCCCCCCACTTCCCATATTTTCCCATATCTTCTGGGGAATCGACGATCAATTGTGTCTGTATGTTTCCCCTCCTGAAGCCTGAAGTCATGATGTGCCCACTGCAATCATTGTCACTCATTGCAGTGCAGAGTTCGCAAGAATGCTGCGACTGCGCCAGCCTCACTCCTTTCCCGGCAACAGCCACAGGAAAGGACGGAGAAGAAGGATCGGCAGGTTGAAGGGATCCTTCTCCTGGCCCCCAATTGCACCCACTGCCTCCACGCCCTCCTCCCCCTCCCCCTCATCCACCTCGCCAGCCCCTGCTCCCTCCTCGCCCACCTGCCACCCCAGACATCCGACGTCGTGATTGTTCCAACCGTGGACCCACAGAGGTCATGACCCCTAGCCCAGGACCGATGTGTAATCCCGTGTCGCGGTTTGCTGGTGCCAGGGCCCGGTGAGGGCCCCTGTGGCCAAAATGTCCTCCTGCTGCCCAACACAAAAAATGTTTGCCAGCGTGGACCCCACACATTAAGTGATGGCACTGCGGATGTGTAAGCTCTGTGATACGTACACAAGGATATCTGCAATCGTCTTTCGAAAAAACAGCCCCACATGCGGCAACGGGCGACAACGGGAGGCAGCAGGCCAGAGCATGGCGAATCCTCGGGACACCCCCGCAGGCGGCAACTGGCAGGAACGTTGCAAATCCTCTGGGCGCCTCGACAGGTTTCAACGGGCGGCCAACTGGCTGGAACGTGGAAAATCCCCAGGAGACCCCCTGGGAAGCCTGGCCCCACAGGCGGCCACAGCTGGCAAAGGGCGGCAACGAGCCAGACCTTGGCGAATCCCTGGGACACCCTCGCGGGCGGCAGCGCGCAGCAACGGCGCGGCAACTCGCCAGAACGTGGCGCATCCTCGAGACACCCGTCCACGTCCTCAGAAACGCAGGTAAGAAACCCTGAGTGCAAGCACTGCTTGGGAAGGAAGACACCTCCGTCGTGATCTCCGGGAACGCGATCACATGGATCAGGGATCTGTGGATCTGGAGCGTGGGCGCCAGATCCACAGATCGGGGAAAGTAAGTACCCCCCAAAACGTGGAGCCAATGCCGCACCATCTGGCAACGGAGCGCGCCCATCCCGTAAGGAAACGGGACCCGTCGCCAGTCCACGCGCCTCAATCCACGTTTGCGCTTCACTCAAGGTTTTTGGGGAAACCAAGATGCACCGATACCGCTACCCCCCAGAGCTCGCTTGGGGCGCCTTCTGACCAGGACTTCGAGGCGAATCCAGCGGTGGCGACGAGGTCCACCAAGGAGGCCCAAAAGCGAGGGGGTAGAGGCCTGCGCTCGTCGTCGTCGTCGTCGCCTGCGCTCGTCGTTGTCGTCGCGGTCGACCGCGCTCGCCGTCGTCGTCGTCGTCGTCGTCGTCGTCGTCGTCGTCGTCGTCGTCGTCGTCGTCGTCGTCGTCGTCGTCCTCGTCGTCGTCCTCGTCGTCGTCGTCGTCGTCGTGCTGGGCAGGGTGCGCCCCTGCGCGACGACAGCGCCCCGGGGCCCCGGTGGGGACATCGCATCGGCTACGGCCCCTTCGGCGACCCCACGCGCATCGACTGCGGCGCGCCCACCCCTGGCGCGAGGAGGTCCGGGCTCCCCCTCGATCCCAAAGATCCAACGTATGGGCAAAGATCGAGACGGAGGTTGTTGGCAGAGCTCGGCCCCCAGGGGCCCTCGCCGGGCCGCGGGACCGTCCAAAACATCTCCGTATGATGAAAAACCGGTCCTGGGGAATGGGTCGAGACTTTTGGGGACACCTTGTTGAAAAAAACACGACATCGGATCTCACGGATCGAATGCCTCCCGCAGCACGGGGCACCCCCACCCGGCGGCGACCGGCGCGGCTCCCGCAGCCGCTCCAGCACGGGGGGCGGCTCGAACGCGCGGCGTTGGTGCCCGGGCTCCACATCCGCCGAGAGGCCCTCGGGGGGGGGGGGGGGCGGCGGTGGAGGGGGAAGTTCCTCCTCCTCCTCCTCCTCCTCCTGCTCCTCCTGCCCCCCCTCCCCCTCCCCCTCCTCCTCCTCCTCCTCCTCCTCCTCCTCCTCCTCCTCCTCCTCCTCCTCCTCCTGCCCCTCCTCCTCCTCGTCCCCCTCCTCCTCCTCCTCCTCCTCCTCCTCCTCCTCCTCGTCCTCCTCCTCCTCCTCGGCAGCGGTCAAGAAGGAACTTCTCGTGGCACCGGTGAGTTCCCTCGGGCCTGGGCGTTGCCATGTCTTTACCACGGGCGTGTTCGCCCAGTTTCGAGCCCCTGGGATCCTCACAGATCGATTCGGCCCGAAACATGATGCAGAAGACATATCGCGATGTCGCAATTCTCGCATGAAACATCGACTACAGAATTGATCTACCCAAAAAGTATAATCACCGCCGAATCGGCAACAAAAACATGTTCGAATGTCCTCGAACATTCTACCTATGGCTCATGCATAGCCAACTCGACGAATAAATCAGGGGCAAGTCAGCTCTGTAGTCGATCTCCCAATCGAACGTTGAGGTGGCGCGGGGGGGGAAACCGCCCCCTGTCGCGCCACCCTATTGCGTTGCGCACGTCCACCGGGAGGCCCTCGGGCCGTGGCAGGGAGGGAAAACCGACTCTCCTCCTCCTCGTCCTCCATGCTTCCCCCCATCTTCTCCCATCCAACCTGCACGTGCCTCCTCCTCCATCCTCCCCATCCCCCTTCTCCCGATCCCCCTCACCCCTTACTCCTCCTCCTCCTCCTCCTCCTCCTCCTCCTCCTCCTCCTCCTCCTCCTCCTCCTCCTCCCCTCCTCCCCCTCCCCCTCCTCCTCCTCCCCCTCCTGCTCCTGCTCCTCCTCCTCCTCCTCCTCCTCCTCGTCCATCTCCTCCTCCTAGTTCCACTCCCCCCCTCAGGGGCAACGATGAGGGGGGACAGGCCCGGGAGGGGAGGGGACATCGAGCTGGAATCGGCAATACATCGCCGATAGATCGATCGGCCATGGGTCCCAGAGAACGAATTCGCACCTTCCTGGGCGGGGGCAGGCCATCGGGCCAATTATCAGCGATCCATGGACGATTTGGGGGCGATGCACCCCCCCCTTGATGTGATGCCCACCCGGATTTGCCCCCGAGGGGAGGGGAACTGCTTTCGGCACGGGTGAAATCTCGGGCGGGTGGCATCTCCACATCCACTGCCTCGCGACCTGGATGCTGGGGTGCCTGCCCGCGGGTACGCGGTCGTATGGACACGTTCCGCGCCGATCGGGTCGGGCGAAAGGGGGGGATAGCAAAGGGGGGGTTTGAGTATCAGCTCACGTAGCTGATTTTCCCGGCGCCTCCCGGCGCCGGAGGCGGCCATGTATCGAGGAATGGGCCCCTCGGTGAGGCCGAAACCAGCTGCATGCAGCAAATTTCGTAACCCCCCCTTTCCCAATCCCCCCCTTTCGCCCGGCCCGAGCCGAGCATCCGCGAACAAAACGCTCCGTACGCACGGGGTCGCGACCCAGGGCCCGGGCCCCCGAGGCCGTGGATCTGGATACGTTCCCCGCGCACGATGAACATGGATATCGGCGGCCCGCCAGCGGGGGAAGGCAGAGGGGACTGGCCCTCCCAGAGGGCGACGGGGCTTCTCAAAAGTCCTCTCGCCGTCGGAGAGAGACCTCCTTGGAGCTTCCTGACACCCACGGGTCAGTCGGACGTCTTCTGAGAGAAAGCGTCTGTGGCTTCAGAGGAGGCTTAGAGGGCTTCTCGGAAGGCGTTAGGGCTTCCGAGAAGCCCCAAGGAATTCTAAAATGGCCAGCCCCTCTGCGTTCCCCCCTGAGCGCGCCACCGAGAAAGGGTTCTTGGGCCCCCAGGACCAATTCGTCATCCGGAACCGTTTCTTGACGGTCCCAGGGCGCAGGGGTGTGCCCGAGAGCCCGAAAACGCCAGCTCGGTCGGATTTCTGAAGAGGGGTCATTCTCCCTCTCGCCCATGAACTTCGACCAGAGGCCGTCAGTGGAGCGCGAAGCTGAGAAAAAAGAGGATACACTCTGCCTACCTCAACCATTGCAGCCTCAAACACCTGCCCTTTTTTGCGGCCGGGAAGTCACGCAGAAATTGTCAGATTTTACGCAGGCCAACCGTCAATGCCAGGAGGAGGGGGGGATACGAGGGAGGGAAACGACCAGGAGCGAGGAGGTGGAGGACGATGACGGCGAGAGAACCCAAACGCGACCCCCTCACAACGGTACCATGCTGAATGCTTAAGGTTGCTACGGTTAAACCGTGCGCGCACTAGTCCGCCTGACAGACGTCACATGAGCTGACACGGTGCAACAGTAGCAGTAGTAATACGAATTGCAGCGAAGAAGCAGTCGCACATGGTCATGCCTGGTAGTGAGGAGAGGGAAGCGAGAAGAGGAGGGTAATTAAAGGGGGGAGGAGTGGCGAGAGGGGGGGAGGGGGAGCTGGAGGAGAAGCGAGCAGGGACGAGGAGCGGGGACGAGGAGGGGAAGGCGGACGGCGACGGCCGCAAAAGACGACAACGGCAAGGAAGCGCACGAGGCAGCCTCCGCGGTCAGCCCGACGAGGCCCTCCCCCAGGACCAGGAAGAGGTCGGCCTCGCGAGTGGAAGACCTCCTCCTCCTCCTCCTTCTCGTCCTCCTCCTCCTCCTCCTCTTCTCTCCCTCCTCTCCCTCCTCTCCCTCCTCTCACTCCTCTTCTTCTCCCTCCTCTCCCTCCTCCCTCCTCCCTCCTCCTTCCTTCCTCCTCCCTTCCATCCTTCTCATCGTCCTCCCCTTCCTCCTCCTCCTCTGTTTCTTTCGTATGTGTCTTCTTCTCCTCCTCATCCTCCTCTTCCTTCTCCTCCTCCTCCTCCTCCTCTTCCTCCTGCAAGGCGCCATCGAGAATGGGAGGGTACTTCAAGTGTGTGATAGTCCAGATGGGCCGGGTCACAGGAGGAGGGGGGAAGATAGAGGGGAGAGGAGAAAAACTGAGGGGCGGGAGTGCAAGAGGCCTCGGCCTCCTCATCCTTATTCAAGTCCCTCCTGGCCATGGACGGGCAATCCCCGCGCGCACGTGGGGGGGGGGGGGGGCGCAGCGCGGGGGGGGCCATCTGGCGCGCGGGCCGCATGGCATGGCGAGGCTCGGAGGAGGCAGGGCGGGCCCCCTGGCGCCTCCGCTCGCCACCGATGCGGCAGGAGTCCACAGCGGAGATCGTCCATGCCGCGGTCTCCTCGGCGATGGAGACAACCGCGCGGGTGCTGCCTGAGTCGCAGGCGCAGCAGGTGGCCGCCATCCCAGCGAAGGCGAGGCCGACTGCGCGGCCGAGCTCGGCGCCAGCGGCTGCAGGGGTGCTTCTGGCGATCTCGGACGGGATCGTGGCGCCTCCATCGCCCCCGCCAGGCGACTTCAGCATGCCGTGCCAGCTGGAGATGAAGGCGGGGCCCAGCCGTGGAGTAGGCGTGCAGAGAGACGGCCACGGCAAGTCGAGGGCCAGGCTGGACTTCGAGAGGATGCTGCAGGCATACAAGGAGGAGTACCGCCAGGAGAGGAGGGAGGAGCCGCGCGAGAGGTCCCGCTCTTCCCCGCGGCGCAAGAAGGCCAAAAAGTCCAAGAAAGAGAAGAAGGCCCAGCGGTCGGAGTCGCCGCAGCTGGTGTGGTGAAGTTCGACATGGCCATAGACGGCACTGATGACGACGAGTCACAGGAGCATAGTGCAGATGGTTGGACTGGCTGGCATCTCAATGGCGACGTACCTGGTGAAGGACTCCGTCTCGAGACGGTCCCAAAGTTCCCGTTGCTTGGGGGCTTCGACGGCGTCCTGAAGGAAAATCAGGATGCATTCCACAAGGTGGAGCAAGCACGAGCTCAGCGTCTCTCCCTCTGGCGCCTGAGCTCTGACCAAGTGGTGAAGGTCATCGGCGGAGACGGCGACTTCGATGGTGGCTCTGTGAGCGACCAGAAGGTGCTGCTCGGTGGTCAGCAGCAGGGCAGCGAGACGGTGGACGACGACGACGGCATCTTCAGTGGTGGCCACGTGGGCGACCTGAAGGCGACAGACGACCAGGCGGAGGAGGAGGAGAAGCTCGTGGAGGGCTACGAGTCGAGAGGGGGTTCGTCCCCCGCATTATGTCCGCGGCGACCTGTTGGGAAGCAGGCCCTCCCCCATGGGGGAGTCGGAACCTTCGAGCCTCTGGGTCGGCCGCGGAACATGCAGGACGACGTGCAGTGCGAGAGCGTCGCAAACCAAAAATTCGTGTTCCGGGGCACGCTCTGCCGGAACACGGTTGGCGACGACGCTGTGTTTGTCGGCACGCAGCGTGGGCACACCGCGGACGGGGGCGACGACGTCGACAGGCTGCTGGACAGGTCGTTCGGCATCTGGAGGCGGGAGGTCGTGGCCGCCTACCGTGGCGACGAGGACGAGGATTTTGACGTCGGCATCTTCAACGGCGACCAGGAAGTATTCGGCTGCGACCTGGGCGCGCGGCACA